AAATATTTGTTTGTAAAGTCATGATCGATAAATTGTGGCCAGAGCTTATGTATTATGACAGCTAAATTTATGTAAGATCTCAGATGTTAAATTATAATACACATACAATTTAGATTATGAGAATATAATTGCAGATGGGACCTTTGCAGACTGTGAAAATTTGCCAACCTCGAGTTTAAAGTATCAGCAATATTTCCCTACCGTGGAGTCTGAAAAGGTATATTTTACATATCTGAACTAACCATCTTAGAATTTGATAGTTTCCAAGAAAACAAGAATTTGTAACAGAGTTACCAACGTCTGCAAAGGTCCCATCTGCAATTATATTCTCATAATCTAAATTGTATGTGTATTATAATTTAACATCTGAGATCTTACATAAATTTAGCTGTCATAATACATAAGCTCTGGCCACAATTTATCGATCATGACTTTACAAACAAATATTTATTGTAGTAAATCTAGACTAAATTATCAAATAATTATTCACAGCATGTAGTTTGAATAATAATTGTATCAACCTTATTTTATTGAAACATGTTTTGCTTGCTGCCACAATATATTTTGATTGTTAATAAAATAACCATATTTCTTGCATAAATGTATGTAAAAGTTATTTACCTGAAACTTTTTACTATGATTCGTTTTATATCTTCCTGTCTCAGGTTATTCTTAGTTTAATGACAACAACCATACAATTCCCTAAATATTTTTTTCTTTGAAAATTCCAAAATATGTACACAACATTCAAAAATAATATGATATCTCCAAAATTACTTAAATACCAATTAGATCCTTTATGGTTAGCACTATTTCAATAAGCATCTGACCCAAATCATCATTTTTTTTTTTCAAATTTTTCGAACAGGTCCATCATAATGTGGAACAGAGATTATCCACAAAATTCAAAACATCCATCATTTTATTTTTACATTTATTGAATGGATAAACATAACAAATGATGAATAAATTTAGCATTTGAAAATCAAAATAAGTTTTTGAAAGGTAATCAAAGTTTCCATGTCCTAAACTGATTTTTTGAAATGTATAATGCCCAAACTCCCTGAATAATCACATGGAACAGTCTGGTCAGTATACCAGAATGCCCCATGATGAGATTAGTCATGCAGAGATAGAGGAAACATTAGTCTTATCTGGTTTGTTTGTTATATTCTTCTGTGAAATCTTGTTTGTAGTATTTATTTATCCTGAATTAAGAAATTATAGGGCATATATTTAACACAATAATTTTGCATATATAATGGTCAATTATAATCATTAATGTGTTAATTGTACACATTAACTAAGTGGCAGAGTACGTGAAATCTAAATGTTTGTCTACAAATTTACAAACAAACTTGGTATGGAAATGTACTATTTTATAGCATCAAACCTATACTAACATATTAAAGTTTAATATCACAAGAGCCATGTCAACATGGCCATCCCCCGCCGAATGTGTTTGCTCATTGGAAAAATGTATATGTAGTAGAGCGGAATAATTCCATTTTAAGAGGTCTTTTGGTAATGAAAACTGATGGCTATAATGATTACAGATTTGAAACCTATGTGAATACTGTTGGCTGAAAATAACAAAGGGCAATTACTGAAAAATAATGCAGGGTAGGTTACCATTCTTGTGTGCTGCATCCCTCCTCAGTAAAATCTATCCACCTATGAAGTTTCAAGTTGATACCTCAAATACTTTTTGAGAAAAAAATTGAATTGAAAAATTAAGTATGAAAAAGAACAAAGGGCAATAACTCAAAAATTATAAAAGGTAGAGTTATCATTCTTGTGCAGTGCACACCTCCTGAGTGAGATCTATGCACCTATGAAGTTTCATTTTGATATCTCAAAGGCTTTTTGAGTAATGCTCTGGACAAAAATTAATTTTGAAAAATAACAAAAGGGCAATAACTCAAAAATAATGCAGGGTAGAGTTATCATTCTTAAGCACTGCACTCCTCCTCAATGAGATCCATCCACCTTTGAAGTTTCAAGTTGATACCTCAAATACTTTTTGAGATAAGCTCTGGACAAAATAACATAAAAAAACAAAGGGCAATAACTCAAAAATTGTATAGGGAAGAGTTATCATTCTTGCACACAACATTCCTCCTCAATAAGATCTATCCGCCTATGACATTTCATGTTGATATCTCAAACACTTTTTGAGTTATGCTCCACTCAGGTGAAAAATTAGGTATGAAAAATAACAAAGGGCAATAACTCAAAAATTATGAAAGGTAGAGTTATCATTCTTGTGCACTGCACACCTCCTGAGTGAGATCTATGCACCTATGAAGTTTCATGTTAATATCTCATAAGCTTTTGGAGTTATGCTCTGGACAAAAATCAATTTTGAAAAATAACAAAGGGCAATAACTCAAAAATCATGCAAGGTAGAGTTATCATTCTTGTGCACTGCACTCCTCCTCAATGAGGTCTATCCACCTTTGAAGTTTCAAGTTGATACCTCAAATACTTTTAGAGATATGCTCCGGACAAAAATGTCGGACGGAAGGACGGACGGACGGACGGAAGGACGGAAGGTCAGACGGACGGAGACTATTTCTATATCCTCCGCCGAAATTTTTCGGCGGGGGATAATAAGGAGTTCCACTGAGATTTGACGGGCAATTTGGAGTCCTAAATGAATGTAAACAAATTTCTACACAAATCACAATATAATTATTAAGATAACAATAGTTCAAATTTTAACCAACCCTTTAACAAAATATTAATTAATATTACGCTAGACAATGCATTTTATATATGAGCATTTGATGCAAAAATGAAAGTTGGTTTTCCTATTCATGTACAGAAGTTACCAACAATTCATAGGGTATGACTGAAATACGCAACGGAAATTGTTTTTTTGGCAACGAAGTAAACGGACAAATGACTGTTGTTTTTTCTAAACACTCAAACCTATCGTTTATATACCTTGAGTATAACGAACAAAAAATGTATGAAGCTATTAAAAAGTATTAAAAATGGTAGTGACCCGAGTAGGGCTCGAACCCATGATATCTTGGTTGATAGGAAGACACCTTAACCACTATGCCACCGGAGCTATTGGCAACAAGATTTAATAAACAAAACTCACAATTTGCTCTTAAATTTATGAAATATTGGTATACTCCGATGCTGCCGATTTCGCTTTTAAGTCATACCGAGACTCATCACGTGACCATTAATTTTAGTCCGAACGTACAGGTTTGCAAACTGAAAAGCCTTTTATCACCAAATTGGAGATTATATATATTTCAAATGAATTGCCAAGTCATAGAACGCATATCAATGCATCACTGATTCTGTGTAAATGTCTGTAACACGCAGGAAAGAAAAATTATTGGTTTGTGAATATTTACGTTTATGTGACAGTCGACCAACCACAGTGTAGTCGATACACACCGGTCTCTCAAATATCGACAGACCGGTGTACAAAATGCAGTGTTGTGCCTTTTACACACGAATTTAACAGTTTAAAAATCTGGAAACAAAGTGATCCCTTAGAAGCATTAATTACAACAAAATTAAAAGAGAATTGCAGACTCGGTTTGATTGAGTCTGTACATGATATAGCCCAGGTAGAAAAACGTAAATCTGATGATTGGACAAATATAGTTTTGTCAAATAAAACAATTGTAACATTTTATAATTCCATTATCTCGTTATGCTTCTTCTGTATGTGGCTGTTGTTGTACTGCACTTTTGGAAGAGGTGGAGTAACATTTGCATTGACCAATGAAAACATTTTACAAATCACGCTCTTTGATGAAGCTAACCTTCACTTCAGCGCATTTTTTTATATACATGTACATGTATTTTAGTAACAAATCCGGCCGAACTGTTTTGCAGTGTAAAAACCTGTCAGTATACCTACTAGAACAGAACTGATTTCCGGCACAGCAGCATTGATTCGGCTAGGTAAATTTGATTGCATAGTTTACTGTATAATCACCATTGGGATATGTTGCTTGCTTATTAAATTTGCCTTTTGACGTCTTATCTGTGCTATGTAAGCACATAACCTCAGACCCCCTTTCAAAAATCCATTTTGTTTAGTTCCGCCCATTGTTGTATTAAGGACACGTGCATTCTTTAACTTTGGTACCATACGCCGCTTTTCATTGAATGGCTGTACTGTACGTGTCACATTGAATGTTCCATGATAACCGCCGTATGTACATATCTGCGGATGTTCTAAATTCAAAATTTCACCATTTTCGTCTTTAAATGTTGACTACTACTAAAGCCGGTGCTAAGGGGCGCGGACCGCAATTTCCAGTATCGTCCATAACAGTTTCAATTAAATAGAACCTTCAACATTGTCAATTTTGTCGTATTGGGCTTTCTTGATGGAATCTTTTTTTCTCTATTTTAGTTTGGGCGTAACGGCGGAAAACCGAAATTGTTACGACGGTAGCTCAAATACCGGAAAATTAAGACGGTTGCATTGGTTCAGACGGACTTCGTCGATATTTCCGTCAGAAGATATTACATTTGAGTTGAGTTAATGCTGGAGTTAGGGCTTTGACAGTCAAACGGAGGAGCGGACAGTTTAAGGGGGATGGGGGGGGAGGTATTTTATACGTCTGGGCTGATATTTTACCGGCGGATTTCTTTCAGAAAAAAAAATTAATTTGAGTTTCATTATGACGGCGGAATCTTTCGACCGGACAGGTATTACGGCAGTGTGGCTGCTTACGGCGGCGCGGGTATTTCTAACGGCGGATTTCCGTCATTAGAAATTTATATTCAATTATATTGTAACGGCGGAAAGGTCCCATACCGCTTTCAATAGTTTATAGGCTTTTTGACAGCACTGAAGCTCTTTTTAAGTTTATTGGCGCAAAATGTTCATGTTTTAAAATTTAGCGTCTATACGATCGCAAATAAAGCAAAATAGGAATCCTGCACAAAAACAAACAAAAAAACAATACTATAATCTACGTTCGTCCAATGTGAGTTAAAGCTGTCACTGTAACAAATCATTCGTCTTTCTGGTCTTTTGAAAAAGTGTACATGAACCAGACTGCTGTCAATAAAACAATTATGATACACAGTGATGTTATAAAATACACTTTGTCAAGATACATCGCTGCCTCATACCAGCCATTTTCATGTTCTATTTCCTTTGTCATTTCTTTGACCTTTTTCTCTTCTTCCCCATCCGCAGACAGCGGGGTCATTTCTCTTGATTTTTTTCTAATCCGATTACGTAACCATTTCGGCATTTTCCGGGTTCTATTGGTTGCATTAGCCAAACGAACGACAAAAACACTCCAAAGGACACCGATTGCAGCGGCGATACTTAAGCCAAGTAAACAATACGAGAGCATTGTTGTGTTTACAGAATTTCTAGGCATGTCGGAAACAAAAGAGACGGTCAGAAACATCAAGGCAAGATAATTTGTAATAGCAAAGGATAACCTTTCATTGTTTGGAGGAATAAGCGGCAAAGAACTATGCAAGGCAGACAAAAGACATGCCGGTGCGAACTTGTTTATCATTATAAAGCCCGGTCTTCGCTCGATGGTTATATAATTCGAAGCAAATGTAACCGACAGGCGTTGAATTGAAATATTCACCACATGTGAGACAGTTTGTGTCACTTTCCATTCTTGATTTTCTAGGTAGGTCCCGCCAATTATTTTATCGTGCAACAAATTGATTGAAAGTTCGTTTTGATTATACTTAGTGGAGTAAAACTGGTGAATACAGACATGTTCGTCGAATGGATAATATGTCAGATCAACCTTGCAAAGAGATCCAAATAGTTTGTAAACGTAAACTAAAACTTTCCCATCGTATGTCAAGGTGGCATTTTCAATCTTGAAATTTTCGTACGCTGTAACACCACCACAAGCACCTGGGAATTGCTTCTCCAGCTCCGGGCTCCAGTATTTCCCTTCTGGTAGAGAAATAGCATAAATACCGCCATACTCAGCGGGGTCCCATGTTAATTGCTCGTCTAACCAGGATGTCTCTAGATTAGAAAAGGTACAGAATGTCCCATCAGAAACATCGACTTGTGATATAGCTCGAATCTCATGACTTATATCAACCTGAAAAAAATATTGATCAACACAAGTAAACAAATATTTAGAAAACAAAAATGAATTCCTGTTTCGTATAAATTCCAAATCCGTAACTGGCTCAAATAAGTGTGTCTGCTCTTCTAAATAATGTTAACCTAGAGATACGTGCGCCACATAATTGCAGTTGTATAACCACAGTATAAATACATAGTGTCATTATAAAAAACTGGCATTTGTTTAAGGAAATACCAAATAAACCAGTTCTCGGGAATGAAGCTTCTCAAAAATGGTTTGTGTTTGTGTATCCTATTCAAATAAGACACATTAGAGAAAATGAAAGCCCTGAAGAAAGCCCCAAAACGACAAAATTGAACATGTTGAGCTTGTTTATGGACGTTACTGGAAAGTAACCGGCCACGCACACTTGCACCGGCTTAAGGTGATTTCAATATTTAATCAGAATAAATGTCTGCAATAAAAGTATTTTAGCCAAATATTTAATAAATTTGAATAGACTAGTTAAAACGTTTATTTTATATTGCTATTACATGCAGGCACACTGTGACACGTTACATCATTGATACCTGATTGATAATAACTAGAGTGATCAACATTACATTGCATTAACCGAGAAAAGAACGTATAAAAATATTATACTTTTATCTAATACTTCACATTTATCTACGGAATGTGTCAATTTGTTTGAAAAAAAGAAACGATTCATGTATTTTCTCTTACCCGAATTGCTGAAGAACGGTTGGCAACTGGTCTGACTGATTTATCATACCTTCCATCCTTAAACAAGTATTCCAGCAGCTTTACTTCGTCTAGATATGTCTGTCCATGACATGCACTGAATACTTCAAGTACTATCAGAGCTGAATAAATTCCTAACATTTCTATATTATAATGTTTTCGAGTATGTTAAATTTGTTTATTTTTTTATGGTTTATGATTTTCAAAGACAGTCGCTGAAATTGACTTGATAAAACCTTATATTTTTATCAATTCTCTTTTAGTTTCCTCGCCTATAAAATGTCTAACACATTTAACAGTATTAATAGTTTTTATTGATATAAAGCCATAAGTTCAGAAATAAGCATTTGTTTTGTAGGTCATGGCAAATAAAGGACCATTAATTCACAATAAAAATGTTAACATTTAAACGTATTTTTCATATTCCTCTTGAAAAGATGCTGTCAAAGAGCATTGTCAATGCTGAAAAAATCAATAACCCCTCTTTTTACCACTCGATTCTTTTATTGTTTTAAAAACCAATAATAAAGGTTTATTTGCATTGGTAATACTTTGCCAATTTTACCCAGTTTTACTTGATAGAACTAAATAACAAAAAATGGCTGACTAATAGTTGAAGTGCTTTTGTGATACAAAATCAAAGCTTAATCCAATGTGTCACTTAAGGGGGCCTCTCTTGATGGCTTGGTCTGAAATGCAATTACTAAATCGTCAATTATTTTATTTAATTATGCTTTGTTTCTCGCTTCCTGTCCTTCAAATCATACAAACATAATATTTGAAAGTGAAAAGAAGGAAGAAGTATTAAATTTAATGAATTCAGTTTGCTTGCTATAAATTCTCATCTCAATAGTATTCTGTTTTGATACAACAGATCAGCTTAAAAGTATTTACAATAACAAAAATAAACTACAAACATGTACATTATATAGAATTTATTTCACCAGTTTGACATACAACTTTGACATATTCTGTACTACTTGACTGAACAACTTTTAACTAGTATTTTATAACATTAATAGCTCTCATTGTTTTTAAAGATGTCCTTCCAAGTTCACCATAGATAAAATTATTTTGAATTTGTCTTTAAACAACTTCCTACAATACTTTAAATGTATATTTTCTAATACATGACTATCAAGTAAACCCCATATTTGTGATCCATAGTAAAGAGTTGGTAAAATAAGTTTATCAAATAAATCCAGTTTATGTTTAACTGACATACAAGGAAATCTTATCAGCTCTATTTCAAGTTTATAAAACGCCTTCAATGCTTGTCTAGAAAGTGTTTCAAAAGTCATATTAAAAGATCCGCCTTCAGAAAAAAACAATGCCTAGATATGTAAACGTTTTTAACTATTTCAATTGACTGACCTTTATAATAAAAATTCAAATTCTGTCTTAGTCTACCCCATTTTTTAAAAATCAAAACATTTGTCTTTGTACAGTTAACACCTAATTTCCACCTATCACAGTATATATCTAATCATCTTAATCCTTTTTCTAAGCCCTCCTCTGTTTCAGACATAATCACTATATCATCAATAATAAAAATATCTTCAAAATACCTAAGTTAATACCTTCAAAACCATTTGACATATTTGTATTTATATACGAGTAGGTTCATAACTGAAACTCGTTAAATAATATAATATTCTGCTCGCCAGAGGCTCGCGTAATATAATTTTATTCAGCTTGAATAATTCAGTATTGAACTATTACACTCATTCAATATCCTCTCCAGAGAATGAAGGGAATTAACCCGGATGTAATATAACTTTATGGGGAAATACGACTTATCACCCTTTATATACAGAAAAAGTAATTTCAATAAAATGTCCTGTTTGACATATGGAATTATCTAACTAATGTTCGTTTCAATTGAACTTTGATCAAAGGATTAACACTGCAATAAAATTTAAGGGTAATTGAATTAACTGAATGCATTTCAGTCATTTACTCCGAAACGTACGAATTGGGCACGCTTCTTGTTTATATATGCTGGTCTTCTTTAACTCATTTCTATCTGTGTCCATTTCTAACAATTTTTTTCAAACCGAAATCGAAAAAGTGATGTGGCGACAATTCTAGGACACATTTTTAAACGGCAAAAACGACGTTACATGCGTGCAGTATACTATAATAGTATCATCTTCAGTTCATAAATTATTTATATATATAAAAAAACTATTTTTGCTTGTAATAATTTTTTCAATATTCAAATATACACATGTACATATTATACACACAGTTTGTCACATACTTTTTATCTTCCGGAATAGTGTAACGTTCTTGACTTTAAGGAAATCCACACCCTGTCATTCTGTTGAGCTGTAAGGCAAGTGTTTTATAAAATTTAAGAAAATAATGGATAGGTTTACAGATTGCCAGGTAAACCATTTACTCTTATATTTCATTATATAATTGTTTAAGATTTACTCTTTGTACTACATGTATAAAATAATTCTTTAAACACTGACGCCGGCGGCAACACATGTTACCCAGACCAAGATAATCTGGCACCTCATTCGCTATTCAGTCTATTCAGTTAGAATTAATTTTGAATTTTTCCCCGAAAATGATGAATGGTTTTGTCCGGATCCAAAGATTTACAAGTCCATTTAAAATTGTACAGCGTAAAACTGGTTAAAGCGCGTCTGTGGCAAGTTTTATAACATTTCTGGGACATGATTTATGTTAGTCTATAAAAAAGTTTTTTTCCTCAAAAACATATGTTATTGTGAAATAGCAAAGTCATCGTAAACTACAATTGAAAGGAAGCGATTAAAGGCTATTTATTAATAATCATATGAAATACATTGATCATAGAATTATACATAAAATAAAAAATTTACATTTGTATTATTGTAATATACTTTTAAAAGGTCATGAATAGTTTGAACTTCTAATTAAATCACAATCTGAATGACAATTATCAATTAGATCTTTGACATAATTTGATTTTTTTTCTGTAATGTAAATTACATTATTTTCACTCATATTTGAATGATAAACTACTACTAGAATGTACGGTGTCACAAAGATGACGTGTGTGTTTTTTATTTATCTCGTGCGCACAAGATACTATGTCGTGGCCATGAAATACTATGTCATGGCCACGAGTTACTAAGTCGTGGGCATGAGATAAATAAGTAGTTGGAGCGAGAAACGATGTCGTGGCCACGAGTTACTTAGTCTTGGACACGAGTTACCTAGTCGTGGCAACGAGCTAATTAAGTCGTAGCCAGGAGATACTATGTCGAGGCCACGAGTTACTAAGTCTTGGCCACGAGTAACTAAGTCATGGGAATGAGATAAATAAGCAATCATATTACACTATTTATATGACTTTTCCTAATTAACTAGACATGTGCTATAGTACAAGGATGTCCCTACTTCACCTGCCTGTAAAAGTGTCATTTATACACGTTATTGATTGGTCAATGATTTTACACTTAGCGCCGTTGTGACTCTGATTTTTGACCCAATGACATCAAAATTATTAGGTGTCATTTAATGATCTACTGGTCAGATGCAATGATCTTCCTGGGTTATATAAACCATGGCTTATTCCTTCTAAATTATTCATCAGATAAGTATTGTACATGCCATGGTTATCTTGACCTTTGACCTCAAACATCCTTAAAGGCTATCTACTGTCCATGGGCAACGTCCCTACCAAATAAAATAAACCAGGACTTATTCTTATTCTCACGTTATCGTAAAACAAGGTTAACAGGCCGTTGTACGTACAAATTTACCAATTCTATTACAGAATTGTCCCCACAAAGGGCTATAACTTCGTCAAAATTTATGTCTGAATTATGGGCATTGGAAGGTGACTTTCTGATATGATCCTAAAGACATGTATCAAGTTTAAAGTGAATATTTTAAGTATTTTCAAAGATAAATGTTGCATGTAAAACTATAAACAGAACTTTTTCTAAGTTTAAAAAAAATCAAATATATATATATAGTCTAATCTCATTGGTTAATTATCTCGTGCGCACGACTTAGTTATCTCGTTCCCGTGACTTCGTAACTCATGGCCACGACTTAATTAACTTGCTTGAAAGAAGATTTGTTAACAATTATTAATGTGAAATAAGTAGTGTCCCCTATTAAAGATTAAGCGTTTAAACATTTGCATATTATTGGATGTTTGAAAAGCGTTTTTGAAAAATAATTATATTTATAAATACAAGTTCACTTAAGTGTTGTTACGTCTTTAATTAGAACATACAGGCTCTTTAATGTATTGAACTTGGGTCCCTGTTACAGATACACAGCGTACACTCCTTGTTCACTTAAACTTGGAGCATCATGTTTATGATATACAACCATAAAATTTTTGAGTTACACGATCTTAAATGGTTTTCTTCTTCTTAATCTAGGCTTTCGTCGTGTCGGATTTTACAGGTTTGCCCATTGATAGTGTTAAAAATCTTTAGCCAAACTGTGAAGGACTCTTGTTCTGACAACATTAGGAGAGCATTCCATTTGCCAGTTAAATAATTTAAATCATGACAGTTGAATAAGCTCTATCCAAGGAAACGAAGTTTGAATGGTGGTGTTGTGTTGTCAAGTTCGCACTAGTGTTCAATATAGGCTATTTTGAATAACAGTCTTTCGCAAACATCTTTACAGAAGTACTTAACTATTAATTATTAAGTTCGCAATAAGTTCGCAATATTTTTACTCCCCCCGATTCTAATTTATTAGATAAAAAATATCAAGTTATAAGACTTTTGACAGGTTATATGACCTATTATCAAATGTTGTCAGCTTATATAACTCAAGTCGTTGCAAACGCGCAGTATTATAACAAAAAATATTTTAACGACCAATCATACTGAAATTTCTAAAACGCGACTCGTAACACAAAATGCGTCCCCACTAATTTTTAAAACATTAGTAAGCGTAGAGCCTCTCGGTCACCGATCATTATGACAAGCAACTCTAAATCGGGTTATGACATTACGATTGTTGGGTCGCACAATAGACAGCTTAGAGGGGTTTAAGACACCGGTTACGTCTGATTTAGTCATCTCCCCAGGACGCCCGAGCGGGATTATAATAATTGTAACCCGTGTTTCTCTACACTAATGACCAATCTTACTATTGAATAGTTTTGTAAAGCG